TGGACGAGGCTTTGCTTCGTCGATCAAGTGTTTGTTTCGTGCAGTGTTGTGTGCGTTCCTCCAAAAACAAAAACGATGGCACCGTTCCTCGTGCCTCCTCAATTACGGAACGCGTTCCCGTTACAAGTTTCAGCTGTTCCAAAGGAACGCGTTCCCGTATACATTACTAAGATCGGAACGTGTCGCTTTAACGTTGTATTTTGCGCTTTGAAATCAAATATTGTGTCGCATAGTTCGTTGATTAAATGAAGCGAGCGAAAGGAAACTGGCATATGGAACTACGTCGCCATCTACAGAAGTCGGAACTTGAAATGGTCAATAATGAAATTTCTAAATTCGCACAAACTTCAAGTAAAATTACAAGTGAACAGAAAGAAAACGTAACGAGTTTTAGTTTCACCGATGTAAGATGGAAGAGCGGCGTGCCTCCGCTCTTTCTAAAAGGAACGCGTTCCAGGAACCACGTCGTTCCTTCGAACGCCGTTCCGTACAACACTGGTTTCGTGCATGCACGTTGTGGCAGGCTCAGTTTACAGGGAAAATTTCTTCGCAAGTGTTTTGCGGGGAATCCGGGTGTCGTGACGTTGCGACGTCACGTGACATGAAATGTTTTGTTTTCTTCGTGGGTTATATTCGAGAAAATGTTCCGCATAGTTCAACTCGAAAATTTCTCCGCAACGTTTAGCGGGAAGTTTCTTCGTCAATTTTGCCTGGAATATACAGTTAGCCGTGACGTCATGATGTCAATCATATCGCAGTGTCCCGTGGTGTCATGGCGTCACGTTAACACAGTCGCTGAATATCGCGGAGCTTAAGCGCGCTACGTTTAAGCACTGCAGTGGCGCTATATTCGTTTTCACCTCAAGAACCAGAGTAAAAGTAGTCCGGCTCCTCGCGAAGCTTTACTAATTTTTCCCTTTATGAAGAAAATTAAGATATAGTATGTAGCTGCATTTTAGGTTAGATAGGCGTTATCTTATCAAGACGCACACGCTCCAAATTTCAAAAGCATCAGTTCTTCGACCGACAACCAAATATTGTAAGAACTATTTCTCGCGGCGGATAAACAATGTGCAACACATATTTTTTTTTTAGGTGAAAACGAGTGTAGCATTGTATAGGTGTAAATGTGAGCAGCAGTGTTCAACGTCTCAGCTGTCACGCACAAGTTCATATGTGGAACACGGCTGGCGACCAAATTTTTTTTTTCTTTCTGAACAAGATGTATACAGTGAGGAAGATATCTTGTCGACAAAAAAAATGCCTATTTTTGTTTTTCTTATATGAGCGGTGGGTAATGTTGTTTCTTCGCTCCACTGCGGAGCTCCGCTGAACAACGCGTGGGTTGTGTGGAACTTCAGAGGGGGGTCAGATTGAGCTCGTACGACCCCCCAATGGTTTCTATTAAATCGTTTCCGGCGAAACTCGTGAATTAGTAGAGCGTTGCGGGGTGTTCCTAGTTCAAACTTTACAACCGGACTTTCGAGAGAGGTGCCGAGACAGTTGGCATGTGGCTCGTGTGGTGAATCGAAGCAGCGGAACAACTCGACGGGAAACACATCCCGATCACGTTGACGTTGACGTTTAGTGCTAATGTTGGTTTTATTTTGTTCATTTTCTCATATCCTCTCGCTATATTAGGTATATTTCAGTAACAAAAAATAATGGCTTATTAAAAAAAGGACAGGTCCGGTTAAAGGGTTCGACGTTCGCCGTTTCCAACACGAGCAAAATGTCAAACTGGAAGGCTCTTTATGTTTTCCCTGCAAGTAAAGTTTTAACGTGAAAGTATTAACTGGCCCATGGAGCGAGCCGATGTCATCAGCCAAACCGCAGCTTAAATCCTTTCTCGAAGTGAAGCCAGCTCCCAGCTATGAAACCATGCCAAAAGCCTAGTCAAACGGCCACCTAGTCTCCCCGATCCGAAACTAGCGGGGTAAGGCTGATGAATTTCGGCTTCGGCCTCATTGGCTGGCGCGCATCGACGAGCCTACCATTGGCTGCTGCGCGTCAGTTTCAACGACCGCCACCCCATGGCGCTGCGTGTCCGTCAGCGCGCTGGTAATACGAAACGTCCGAGATCTGAGCTGCGAGGAGAGGGTTCGCTCTGCCTTCGACGCAAATACGCTGCAGACGAAATAAGGGAGCGAAAGAGCGGCGCGCATGCTTTCGCATTCACAACTCATAAAAAGTGCTTAGGTGTACCTCGAACCGTTTTGACTGTAATGCAAAACTATTTCCTCTCCTCTCCACCTCTTCATAACGCGTCTCGCTCTCCCTATCACGCGTACGCTAAAGTCGCTCCAAACTTGTCCCACCTAAAAACAAGTATATATATATACATGTGTGTGTGTGTGTTTGTGTGTGTGTGTGTGTGTGTGTTTGCGCACTGGAGGCAGAAGCGCTGCCCAAAAAGGGGAGGGTAACAACAGGTGTGATGGCAGGAGGTTTTCAAATGTGTCAACATATAAACATTCAGAAACCAATGATAGAAATAAGTTCCACTGTTTAATGATAGTAGAAAAAAAATCGATTTTTGGAATAGCTTAGTTCTGGCAAGTATGAGCGCAGAACTCTAAAGCGGATATGTACGGGTTACTAAAAGAAGGCAAGCAATTACATTTAGAATTAATTACTCGAGGCTAAATTGTAATTTATTGCAATTAGAGTTGCGGTTCTTTAAAAGTATATGACCGTTATGCCTGGAAGTAATCCGTTACATTCGTGGCGGGTTGGTGCCAGTTACGTTTGAGTGAGTTCGACTGCGTTGCGTCGAGCAACCAAAGCCAGCCACCGGCACATCTGTGCTTCGCATGAAGCGTGGAATCCAATTCCAGGAATAGCTTGGCACGCGAAATAAGAAATAGAGATACCCTGGTTACTTGCAGCCGACGCGCAGTCAAACGCGCTCAAAACCTCTCAAACGCCACTGCGCAAAGAAGCTTTTACCTTTCAAAATTGATGTCCTCGAGTAAGAAACAAAGGAAAAAGGATTATTGGAGAGTTTAATGCTGCCACCAATCTCAATTATGAACCCTAAGTCGAGCCGCAGCTTGCTCTCAAAAATCTCGTCCGACAACTTGCCTCATTTCTTCGCGAAGATGTCTCCCGCTGCGCTGCACACTTTTTCCGTTGAGGTGCTCGACGGAAGTGCCATATTGTGCCTCACGAAGGCTTGATGCACTGCATTGCGCTTCTCCAGCGAAGCGACGAAATTAACCCTTAACCTGAACAAAGAGCAAATCTTCGTCGTTGAAGCCGGTGCCCGCGATATACTGTCGGAATCGCGAAGCCGAAGAAGTCGTATTAAAACTGGGATTTATGTACATTTAACCATACCGTCTAACCATACCGGCCAATATTTTCAAACGGTGGCAAACAAAGTTAGCCAGACACAGTAGGTATACACGCGACAATTAAATTATAAATAAGGTTTTGATCTATATTCTTCCCGTGGCTCTGAACAGGCATAGCCTCGATTGAGAAGTCGGTGAATAAAAAAAAAAAGAGAAGTTTTTCGATTTAGATAATAATTATAAAAACACCAGGATACTCCTAAAACAATTAACTAGAACGTCGGTTAAAACAAGGCAATGTAAACGCACGTTTGCCGTAAAAAAATGGCTCGTACGTGTCTATGTTTATGCAGCCTAGAACTTGGTCTGCCCCAACGGGCGACGAGTCTCCCAGCTGTAGATGAGCAATATAGCCAGTGCAGTAAAACCGCTAGCCTGGGGTCTTGAACGTGCACCACGCAGTAGTGATACACGACCGCACACCGGTACGATGCTCATCCAGATCGAAACGGGCAGGGGTGCGGATTGAGCCCAGGATCCAAGGTTCGCAGCGCGAGCTTTCGCTCCACGTGCTCCGAGCTGGTGTGCGTTTCCTTCTGTGTCTGTTCCTTCGACTAAAAGTTCTTCACTTTGAACGACATGACTTGAGCTTAAACGAAGCATATTGTAGAAAGTAGAGTAACTGCACCTTCCTAGAGTACCGAATTCCAATCATAATGCTCACCGGAAGTAAATCCCGTAGAATCCAGTTCTGATTGGCTGGTTTAGCCCGTAGCGAAAGTTATCCAACAACCATTTTGGGAATCGATAAAAAAGAAAAAAAAGTATGGAAAACGTTTACGCGTTACCACGGGTACGGTGGATAGGCAGGGTGAGTACACTGGCCATAGACGAATTAGGCCCTACGGGCACTCATTTAGTTTTTCCTGTTCTTGTCTTTAAATGCTACCACATAGCCGCTGTTCTAGTACGCAACGAACTGTCGGCTCGTTTGCTCGCTTCGGTTGCGATGGTGCTGCGTTTCAAACCCCGAGTTTTTGACCCTAAGCCTAACACCCGACTTCGATCTATTTCGAGGCGAGAAAAAAGAGACGAGACAACGAGGGGCAAGTCCCGCACCGCTCGGAACGAAGGAAATAACTTTAATAAAAACAAACCAGTGTCGCCACAGGCACAAAATGTGGATTAAACATCTCGCATGAGAACGAGCGCTACACTGTACGCACTTCGGTTCGACCGCACAGCGAAGTACTATATGCGGATGAGTTGGAGCGGGACTGCTGCGCCGACACTCAGTTCTGAAACAAAGCTTGGGAGTTTCGGTAACCCGTAAGCGCCAAAAGATATCCGTTGAGAAACCTTGAACTATCTCCTCCCACAAAACTCTTGACTCCTTCTGATTTAGCCAAGCAACGCCTCCTTGACAACAAGGCCGTAGTGTTGAATTCTCGACGTCACCTAAAGAAGGCCAACGCCCAGAGTCGACACGAGCGCTGCGTCAATGTACGGATGAAACCCAAGTTCAATCTCGCTTTGACATTCATTAAGTGACGCCACAAACTCAGATTTGTTACGTAGAAACGCTAAAGAGGGGGCACTTGGAGAGGAGGAAGCCACCAATGAGGGCATGCAGAGAGCTTTGTGGGAGGGGTGCTTTTCTTTCCCTCCTCCATTTCCCGCCACCAATTTCCACTTCACGGTCCTTCAAAGCTTTTCGGCTAGGGCGACGAACGCGAAGTCCCATCTTTTCTGACTTTCAGAGGGGATCGGGTTGTCAAGGGAGCTCCAGCGTATGACCTCAAGCCCCGACCTGCTCAGTGCATCCTCCACCATGGCCTTAGAAAGGTGAAAGTCGGGGAACGTGACGTCGCCAACATGATACTCTCTCGATCCGGCGAAACCGCACAGTATCAGGTGCCCTCCCTTGCGGATCAGGCTCGAGACGTTCCGACTGGCTCCTTGATGGGTGGTTTCGTCTTGACTAGCAGACTGGACGCAGAGGATCGACAGGACGGCGTCGAAGGCTTCCTTGTGTTCTTCTGGGAGGACATTCGGGTCCAGGACGTCGCAGGGCACGACTTTCTTGACCGCCCCGCGTGTTCTTTCTTCGATGTCCATGGCTCCTACTTTTGCGTCCCTGCGTCAACCGGTTTTTGGTCTTAGCAAAATGCCTAGAACAGGGTGTAAGATAGACAGGTGGGAAAACGGCCCATAGAAGCCTACCGCAGCGCCGTGACCGGATTGTCTACTCGTCTGCTTGCGGGTACCCCCGATTTGCGACAGATGGCGCTGCGGCGAGAGGAAAAAAATTGGAATTGAATTTGCATGGAACTTTATGGGAGAGCGCGCAAAATAAACCGAGATCACGACATTCCTTCATTGAAAATCCAGGAGAAATCATCTCCGTCAGTCTAACCGGTCGCCACCGGTCGCCCACCCGGAGTGAGAGTTCGCGGTGCTCCACATAGATGGCGCCACAGAAAAAGAGAAACCCGAGGGGGACACAATCCGGTCGCTCATTTGGCTCACGTTTCCCCACATGTCTATCTTACACCCTGGCCTAGAACGCGTTCTCAACCGGCGTACCTATTGTTCTATCCAGCCCGTGGATCGAAAGTGGTTCCAATGTGGCAGCACATTACATCGCAGGGGCCTGTGGGTCATGCTATCGGATGTCTCCGCCCTGGCGGTTGGTTGTACAAATCTGTCTAGAAAGGCGAGCGTACGCAAAGGTAGCTGTACGCGCCGTGCCTCAGCTCGACTCTGCTTTGGTTTCATTCGACTGTCTGTCAGTAGAGCGACCCGCAGCAGAAGGCGAATCTTCCCCATTCCCCCTGTGCACGCACCACAGAGTAACTCTTCCAGGTGAGAGATTGCGATGATTGGGACGCCATAGTCCCGTAGACAAAACGCACTAGCTACGAAAAGCGAGTATTGAAATGACTCGATGGTCACCGACTACGTACGAAACGCAAGTCCTGGCGACCACCGATCATTTTATCATCACGCCGCTACCAATGAGATTACAACATTGGCCGACATCAACGCTGAAGAACGAATCAGAAAGTAGACTGCGAGCATTGTAAGCTATGCCTAACGTTCCATGAGCTCTCAGTCACTTTACGTTTCCACCCAATACGTATTGGGCTAAACATTGCAATCAGTAAAGCGTGACCGGGTAATGATGTTCACAAAAGAATAATTGGAGGCGAAAATATTAGTTAGTGTCAGAGACATACTAAGCAAAGCGCTACGCTTGTTCATTGTTTTTTTTTTTGGGGGGGGGGGGATAACGTTTACGGTCGAGTGTTTTCTTGTTTGTTTTTTCGCGCCTCTACATTAGCTGGACGAGCTCTCAAACGGCGCCGATTGAATCACGGCGTGTACGCGTCACATTGTGAAGCGGCACCACAGCCACACATGTTGTAACTTTCGGTTGTGAAGTACAGTAAAAGAATGATTGCGCATAGCATCCATATTGGACTATTTACCATGGTCCACTAACTCAGAGTTTAAGCACATGCTGCTAGAATGTTTAACCTCGCTGTTTGCATTTTATTCGGAAATTAGAATGTTCGGCTGAGTGGCGCAAGCAGCCGCCCGATTAAAGGAGCCCAGCCGTATCCATCCATCGTGCTACAGGAGGCTAAAGCAGGCGAGAAGTTTTTCCTCAGAAGTCGCTAATAGCGTGGTACAGTCGGCCTTGAGAAAGATGAACGCAAGGGAGCGATGGCCCAACCGGCGATAAGGCGAGTCGGGGCGCTACGATAGCGTAAGCACGCCGGGGTCGCGATTACCGCATTAGTACAGTCTTGGAAGCACGGGAAACGTCAGAACACCCAAGCCGTTTCGAAAGCTCACCTTCGCAACGGCAGAGCGTGACTGCGCACATGTTTTCCGTTTTCGCTCGCTCCTCGAGAGCTACCTTATTTATCTGTGTCTTAGCGTCATTTACGATTTATGGACGCTGAACTGTCAAGGCTGGCGGATGAGAGGACCACAATCTACGATGCCAGGGATATCGGAACTTTCTTTTACACCTTTCTATACTTTATCTTACTGATTGTGTCGCTATTTGAAAGATTCGCGTTTTAATAAGGGAAATATTCCCTCTTCCACGCACAAATCTGAAACAGCAAATAAAATAAATATCACCGCGACGGCCTTGTTGATTACAACGGAAATTGAAAAAAAAAAAAAGCGTCTTCTCACGCATGACCCATCACCTTCAAAAACAGGCCGCCGTAAAAAGAAAATAAAAAAGTGACCACAAACGATAACTCTCTCTCAGTACCCGTGCGATGCAAATGTGGGAACGACCCGGTAACTCTCGCTCTCTGTGTTATCGCGAAATACAGCGCCGCGTCTGGCGGTTTCCCCGCGCCGGCCACGCATCACTTGGGTTCATTTTGTTTAAAGACCGACCACCAGTTCGCGCTCTCCACTTTTCCCCCGCTTCCTCCTCTCCCTCCTTTTACCCTGTCCACCGTTGCCTGTTTCCTCCTCCCCCATGGTGAGGAGGATCTTCTGCCTTGCAGAATCTCGAGTCTGGTCGTCGGCCTTTAAGGCAGACTGTACACCGGGACGCGTTCGAAACACCAATCATCGGACTTTCTTTATTTAAATCAGCAAATGAGAAGAGCGCCGGAGCGCTGAGCAGTTACAATCTCAAGAAATGACCAATCTCAGTAACAATAAAAAAAGCAGGCTACAAGCGCGAGCGGGTAACTGGCGCCTGTCGACCTATTTGTCACTTGATTGCTCAATTAGAATACTGGAAAGAAAGACACATCGATGAATGTGGTACGCCCTAATTAAAAAAAAAAATAATTACAAAGAAATTTTTACGACACGTGTTAACTATCAATGTACAAATCTTCGAAAACCCCTTCTCACTTGTATCCTTCCAAGATGGCCAGTGGTTCGCTCATGAAGGACCAGTCCATGGCATCAGGTGCCTTCTGAATCCACTTCTCTACTTCCTCTCGGTTTCTTGGTACCAGGTCACTGAGGACAATGCTACGGATCTTTCTCGACGCGGGAAAGATGTTGGCTACATTGGGCCCACACCCAATGTCCAGCAACGTTCGCCAGGAGTCGGACATCGCTGTGTAAAGAAGAGGGGGGTACTGTAAAGCAGGGGATCATTTTGGGAGGGACCGGCAACGATATTGAACAGAAATGTGTCTTCCTTTGGACGAGCTCACCGGCACTAGTGGGACCCAAGTATAATCGAACGCAACGCCACTGGCCAAGAAGCTTCTTTGTCGACGCTTAATTTGAAATATAAAAGTAGATATTTTCTTCCAGTCTCATATTCGCACAACTTGATGACGAAGTTGTAGGGATAGCATTGTTGGCGTTTCAACAATGCGATCTTCGGGATTTCGTCATCAAGCATTTAGATTCTCGCATTGATGATATTGAAAAACGGCCCATAAAACGAAGCATTCGGTTTGGCTTGTCACAATCGATGCCTTGACTTGCATTTACGCAGCGGCTGGTGCCCGATCACTGCGTTTAGAAAAATAGCCGAACCTTAACAACGTCTGGACTCGGCGCCTTCCCTGTGCTTTGCAAACCCCATCGTGTGACATGATAAACATTCGTGGCATATAATTGGCAGCAGATCACGTGGCCGCTTGTCTTCGCTGCGAATTGAGAGATGAACGCTGTTCGTTTCTCTCTATTTTTTTTTTTTTCTGCGACTGCCATTGCGTGGAAAAATAAAGCTGACGCGTGTTTCGTTGGTTATAAATCTCAAAGAATAATTTGAGGGGGTAGTTACTCAAAGTACAAAAACTGTTGCATCGCCACTTTAAGTTCACGAAGGTTTACGAAAGAGCGAACATAATGACAAATAAAAATATGACTGCTTTTCATGAGAATAATTCGTGTGCTATGGAAAACAATGCCATTGTCTAGCCCAAGGTATTGTATAACCCCTCAGCAGCGTGCCAACATCGCAGAACAAAACGTTTGAAAGCGAAAAAAAAAAAAAAAAAAAAAAAAATATATATATATATATATATATATATATATATATATATATATATATATATATATATTGTTCTGTCACACCGCTACGACAATACTGGGAGCATGCCAATGCAATATGTATGAAAGCGAGGGTTCAAGAACCTTCCTTTTCCCTCGTGTTTCGACCTTTCTCGTAGTCTCACTGCAGCTCTTCAATGTGTTATGTATCAATCTACACTACGCCACTTCCGAAACCGTTCTCGTCACCTGCGGCCAGTCCCGCGTACGCTCGCTCTTCACTGCCGCTTCTTCCTCTTTACTCTCGTTCCCCCGCGCACCCGCGGGACGGGCCCGTTCGGTGCCGCGCTATCCCTCACAGATGATAGCATGACTTCTTACTTCATCTGCACGTCTAGGCACACATAAAAAATAAGTTTAGACACATGCATTGCTACAAGTGGACTACATGTTACACTATGCGCTCTTTCTCGCGTGTGTGTACCTGGTGGCGACAATGCACAAATAGACCCCAACCACTTCCGGCTCTGAACTAGACGGCGAATTTCGCAGCATTTGCGAGATCAGATGAGCGCACTATATGTTGGAAATGGCCACTTACTGTCGGACTTAATTCCAATTGATGGCATCCCTGAGTTTGTTGACAAACAAGAAAGGGGCGAATAATCAGTGACTGATCAAGAAGGAAGTGGAGGCACCTCCCCTCTCTTTCCATTTTAGCAGACTGAACGCTGGAAAGGAAGTCGCTTCCTCTCCAGTGCTTGTTCTGTTGAAATGGAGAAAGGTAAGAAGAACTCCCACTTTACTCTTACCCTGTGACCGACAACAGAACAGTCTGATGTAATGTTTCTCCTTGAAACTGTTTGAAATGTGTGTGCACTTGTTTTCTATGACAAAGCCTTCATCTGTTTTCGATTTTACTGCGTTAGTCGTTGAAAAGTCGCCTAGGCGCGTTGGACGACGTGCTTTTAGTCCGAACGAGGAATGCCTGTCTTTTCCCTTTCCACTTTAAAGGAGAGAAGCAAGCGAAGGCTGAGGAAGAGGCGAGTGGAGAGGAGCAAACCACCAATCTCGGCCAGCAGAGAGCTTCGTTGAAAGGGTTTGTCATGCTAGTTTAAGTGTGCAATAGATCCTATCATAATGGAATTAGCTGTTCCCGAATCTGAACTTTGCACAAACATTGTGCTCGTCTTAGTGAAATGTGCAAAATGACCAATGCTGTGCTTGAGCTAACCGTGATATGCCTTGAAAGTTCGTTGTGCATGAGACATATGCCGTACACCCATTACATTACAATCTTAAACTTGTACCGTGAGAATAAATCTTGATCTCTGAGGCCAACCGTTTTTATTTTTTGGGTTCACTCGAGATCAATGTACTTACGAGAGTTGAATATATAATGAAGCTCCCTCAGGAAGAATAAGCGGACGCCAACGGTTGCTTGTACCAGCTCCCTGTACTCTCGGGGCGGGAAATCCCGGAGGTAATGTTCTCTAATCTCCTCGTTGTTCATGGTAGTTTTGGTTGCGTCCAAACTAGGTTGAGGGTCGATTCCTGAAAAGAAAACTGAACGACGGAACAATTGCAGATAATACGAAGAGCGCAAAAACAGCCAAAAATTAGTGTAAAAAAAAAACAAAAACATGATATGTGTTTTTAAAGAGAGTGTCTGCCTCGAGACTCACATTTCGTTTATATCGTCAAAAGTGAAACCGAGCAGATGAATTTAAGACTGAAATTAAACGTTTAACGAAACAAACATATTACTACAACTAAAAAAAAAAGAAGAGCTGCCGTGCATTTAGCGACGACGACGAAGGCGTGACTGACTCGAAGTAGCGCGTTACCGGCTCTTTTCAAAGATCAACACCCTCTCTCCAAACAAGCGCTCACGAGGTTTGGGACAACGCTCAGTTCCCACACGAGACGTGGCCTCTGCGCATGCGCTCAGCCAATAGCAGCGCCACCGCTGCGACGTGACGTCACAGCCGCGTCTTGGTGTATGCGGAGAGCAAGTCGTCTGCTTCCTGCGACCGAGTTGTGGTGACGTCAGAATGACGCCGAGCTCTGATTGTCTTTGATCAAAAAAGTACTGGGTAGAACTCAATGCTAGATGCCTTCAAATTCAAATTCAAATTCTTTATTTGACATTCCTTGTCGAACAAAAAATGCCATGGCAGGAACAAAAAGCTACAATACAGTAGCTTGACGGGGTTCCTGCCCCTACCTTGGCATAAGAAACAACCAAACCGACAGTTTAAAATTGACAAGACATATACACAGAAATTCAAACCATGAAAAATATACATGTAATCAATTTACATCAAATATAAACTAATACTGACATCGTGCACACTAAAACATGTATTCCGACAGTTCATACTATACAGGAAACATATAAAGCGAATACAACAAAATTTTTGCACAATTATTCACTCTGTGAAAAAGTGTTCTTTCAATGTTTTTTTACGAGTGGTGTGTATATCAAGGTTCCTTTTCTCTAAAGAGTTTAGACAACTAGGCATGCGGTGTTGCAGCCTGTCTAACCCATGATTAGTACGGGAAAAGGGTACCAGCCAGGAATCCTTTTTTCTAATATACGATGCATCATGAGGCCTTTTAAGGTTACACAACTTGATAAAAGTGGAATTGTTATTTTTAATGCCGAGTTTATATTTCATTATTAGATTAAAATTGTATAAGTGCTGGAAGGGAAGCACATTGAGTGAAGCAAATAATTATTTTGTGTGGGCATCGTATGGGGCATTTACTATATGACGAATAGCTTTTTTTTTTTGTAATAAATGCAACTTAGTTTTGTTAGCTTGCGACGTCACTCCCCAGACAAGGTTGCAGTAGTTTATATGGGATGCAAAAAGAGAGTTGTAGAGCATTAGCTTGACTTTAGTTGTTAGCATTTGTCTGAATCTACAAAGTATACCGCAAGCCTTTGCCAAGGTCCCAGCAACACGGTTCACGTGTGCATTCCAGCTTAAATGTTGATTAAAAGTTATTCCCAGTGTTTTGGCTTCATTTGTAACTTTTATCGTTTCTGATCCAAGCTGTATATTAATATCGCGAGTTATTAATTTTTGCACAGGCGCAAATAGTACGGCTTTTGTTTTTGAAACATTAATTTCTAAGACGTTTACCCTTGTCCACTCAAGCCGTTTATTCAGTGTAACATTTGCCAAACTAACGAGATCATTAATGTTATTTGACTGGAAAAAAAGACTGGTATCATCTGCGTAAATTAAGCAATTTGTGCACTCAATGGAATTTATTATATCGTTGATGTAAATATTAAACAACACTGGTCCCAATACACTTCCTTGTGGGACTCCCGAATGGACACTTAGAAGAGGAGAGCGTTTTTCGTTAATTACAATACATTGTTTTCTATGGGTTAAGTATGATTTTAGAAGGTCGCCAGGGATTCCTCGGAAACCGTAATGATCTAGTTTAGTGGATAGTATTACGTGATTAACTCTATCAAATGCTTTTGAGAAATCAATAAAAATACCTAATGTCAATTTATTATTCTCAAATCCGTTTAGTATGAATACTTTTTGTGTCAGTAAAGCTAATTCAGTCGACATGCCTCGACGGAAACCGAATTGCCGCTCCGTAAGTATTGAGTGCTTGTCGCAGAAGGAAGAGACTCTTTTGCATATAGCATTTGCATATAGCATTTGCATATAGCATTTGCATTTGAGCTCTACCACCTATTTATTTTTCAATAAACCAATAAGAAGTCGGCGTTCTGACATCATTGCAACCAATGTGCAAGACGCAGACGAACTTCCGCTCCGCAAACACGCGCTGTGTTCAGGGATGTTCCATACCAAAGCGCACTATGACGTAAAGGAATGAAGCCAAACCCGCTAAGCGGACTGCAATAAACTTTCCGGCCAGTTGTCGTGTAACTTTTTGCTTAAAAAAAATATGGTAGCTTGTTTTTGCGTGTGCAGCTTGCAAATTGCAAGATACGAGTATACAGTTTCAAAAAAAAAACAAAACAAAACAAAACAAAAAAACCACGATGTTCCTCATGGTAGTCCGCGCTGATATCTTAATTTTAATATTTCGCTGAAGCCTTGCGACCGTTGTTTTTTAAGAAACGAATGTAGAAGTGAAATGTCTCTTTCAGTTATTTCATTGTATTTTCGCCGTACTATAACGAGTGTTGAACTAATATACCTGGAAAGTACATCACAAATTTTAATTCACGCACAGAAAAAAAGAATATTGCGGGTGTCTTATAAAATCATATTGAAGCATATAGATTCGTACCGCAACCTTCGACGAGAGCCTATTTCTGTATTCAAAAGTTAAGTTGTCCGAAGGCGTTTCATTGTTGGACAGCCTTCACACAAAAAAAAAAAAAAAAAAAAAAAAAAATTCGCGTACACCTGCGTTCTTGCGTGGTATTCTCTTGTTTTAAGACAATAATTGGTCCGGCTGGAAACAGTACTTCTTTCAGTAAGTACTTTTGTAAATATTCAACCTGCTATTAATTATTGAGAATAAAAATCTAAGTCGCAATTCGCTCCGTCGGGCTGAGTGCGATTCCCAATTTAATTCTTTTTTTGTGTCACAACATTTTTTTTTTCACTCTATAGGGAGTATTCACTGGCGGTCATACCTGTGTGCGTGGTTGCTGAGCGCGTGCTGACGGCGATCTTCCACGGTTCTTCTGCAACGTGCATTCCACACCATCAGAATCGCCGGTCTTAGCAGGCTATTAATGTAAGCTCGTTCTGAGCATGCGCCCTAAACATCGCCCTCAAATATCGCGTCCAGTGAATGCCCCTACTGCTCGTGCCCGTAGCACGAGCACGCCCCGAGCGCCCGACCTAAATGCACAGCTGCGAACAAGCAACTCCTTCTTTCTGGAAACATTCTACGCCATCTATGGGAAAAGGGTACAAATAAATCGCGGTTGAATCCCGCTTAAATATGGGACGAAATCTCGTTTCTCTTTCCTTTTCTGTTCTGTAACGTGTTTACGTTACTGATTCCTGTAGTTCAAAGGGAACCCGTTCGAGATATATTTCTATGATCAGAACGCGGGTCGTCACTTATTTTAATAAAATAGTGTGCCGGATCATTCGTAAATAAAATAAGGCAAATAACCGCTTCATTTTGTGGTTGAAGCAACTGCTTCATCCACATCGAGCTGTGCGCTGAGAAAGTGAGAGAGAGGAGGAGATGGGAGTGCGTCGGACGCCTACCTTCCTCGTTTTTAACGCGTTCGACGCAAGGCAGGGGAAACAAACCGCTCATTCACACTGGAAGCGGATCCGCGTTCGCAAAGCGGTTGCGAACGCGGTTGTATAAATATCCAGTGCAATTGCACGCGCAATCGATGACATCAAGTGCGCGTGCAATTGTACTGGATCTTTATACAACCGCGTTCGCAACCGCTTTGCGAACGCGGATCCGCTTCCAGTGTGAATGAGCGGTTAGGCTGGTAGCTTTAGGGCCTACCCACTAATCGATCCAATCAGACCTCAGTGATCTGACGTTCCCGCGCCGAACTCGTCTCCCTTTACTCATTACTTCCGCGGCGCATACAATTTGAGCCATCAGCATCGCATATTTGTTCCAGTTGTCTGAGTTCAACTCTGTCTCTTAACACTTCCCCGTTCCTTAAAGTCTGAGGCGGAAAAAGTCACCAAAAAAAGCATAAATGCCTAATACATTCCGGTAAAATTGAAAAATTGAGTTTTTTGTACTTACGTCCCCTCGAAAAAGTAACGGGCTTTCGTTACAGCTCCACCGATGCAAGATGGAACCACTTAACTACTCCACTACTCTTACAACGAAAAAATAAAAAAAAGCGTTTCTGGTACGTTGTTTTTTGGAACGCCGTTCCGTGCGCCATAGCCATTTTGTCGAAACGCTTGTCCTCCCAAAACATAGCAATTGTTTTTTTGTCTAAATGTTTGGACTTCTATAAGCTAACCTACTCTAAATGCGGCTATTATTCAGACTGCCTGATGTTTCACGGTCGCTCTATCTGATCCCATGACTGAGGAAGTATGCAAACACAATGGTGCGACATGGGGGTTCGCTTCTTTATTTCTTCAAGATAATTTCTGTCTCAAAGGATATGTTTCACATGTGGCTACGCGAGAAAAAAGAAAAGAAAATTCGGTTTAAAGTTTGCTAGAAGAGGTCTAGAGAAGCGTGAATATGCACAAAAGTGGAGGAATAAATAAGTTAACATAGGACAAAGATGAAAACAAAAAATTTAAATGGGGTGGGCTGTAAACGTTTCTGAATTAGGTAGCCCCAGCTACAGCTCAATAAAAAGGGTAAAGCCACTACCACCTATTCAATAAACAAAACACAAGAATTTGTATTCTATTGGAGAGCTTTCGCGTACATGGTTTTATTTTAAAATTAAAGCAGTAGTCTTTAGTGTAATTCAATTAAATACAAAGGTGCAAGCGAGTCGCACAAGAATGACGAAAATAATTCCTTGAGAAGGGGAACAAGAAGGACAAA